AACAATGAATCTCAAAACTCTCGAGGACAAAATCATACCTTTTTCTCTGTGTCTTCAGCTTAACCAACTGTATAAAACACACACTTCCCAGCATCCTTACCTCTTCATTCCCACACATGCTCACTGAGCACACGAGACCACCTCCCCCTACGCTTTGTTATGATAATCAGTCCATCGATCGTCTATTTTTAGCTCTGAATATCCACCGCACTGCTTTCCTACTTGGTGACTTCCTGTCTAATTATACAAACATATGTCTGAATACACGTGTCGTGCACATCCTCAAACTGACTCGCAGGCCTCTGTGGATGAACATCAAGGTTAACCAATCGTACTTTTTCTCCTTTCACTGTCTCTCTCCCTGTGTTGCTGTTTTTCTCTGCTTGCCACACTTCTGCCACTCTATTATTTAGCAAAGGTCTTTGTCCTCTTATCGTTTGACACCCAGCTGAGTTATTTCAGTAAAGCAGCTATTTTAGCTTTTCCTCTAAATGGAAATTCCTTGTTATGTTTTGACGTAATCTTTTTTCTCTCTCTCTAACACAGTCCCATGAATGTGAAAACATTCTGTAGCGCTAGGTCGTCATGGTTTAAGGCAGAAAATGTCTTCACCCCCTAAAGTGGCAGCTCCGAAGCTTTTCCCTGCTATTATGGATTTAAGTAATTTAAGCCATAAATCTCTGGCGCTCATACCCCTACTAGCAGCGTCACCTCTGAGAGGTTTGGCTACACTGGCTGATTGCAATGCAAAGACCAATTTTGGCTCTCAGCCAACTTTATCCTTTATTAGCGAGGGCACGACATCCAATCAATAGTCAACAGCAGCAGTGCTTTTGGCTCCGGGGAGCCCTGCCTCCTCTCAGCACAGTCTGCTGACATTTCTTTTGCCTGAGCAGCTTTCCCTGCTTTGTTCAGCTCATTTATTAAAGGAGACATGTCATGCTTTTCCGGTTATTACCCGTCCCCTTGTGTGTTATGAAGGTTTTTATGCATGTAAACGGTGTGCAGAGTCAAAAAACCTCAAAGAACACCATGTAGGGAGTAAAACTCTAACACAGAAAATACCTCCCCAAAACGCCTCGTTGGAGATTTCTCATGTTCTTCCTGGACATTGTGACTTCTGAACACCCAGTAGCCACGCCCAGAGCTATGACCAGGCTGATTGGTCCAAATGAACCAATCCACACACTTCCTCACACACACACTCAGTGCAGGCAGCTCTGCTGATCTCTCCTCCCTGGCTGCAGGCTGATAACAGACAGTTGGGATNNNAGTAAAACTCTAACTCAGATAAGACCGCCCCAAAATGCCTCGTTGGAGATTTCTCATGTTCTTCCTGGACATTGTGACGTCTGAACACCCAGTAGCCACGCCCAGAGCTATGACCAGGCTGATTGGTCCAAATGAACCAATCCACACACACACACACACACACACACACACACACACACACACACACACACACACACACACACACACACACACACACACACACACACACACAGTGCAGGCAGCTCTGATTTCTCCTCCCTGGCTGAAGGCTGATAACAGACAGTTGGGATTGTGGCGAAATTCTCTCTGCAGACCCATTCTCACAGCATTTATCAACCTATAAACCTTTTTCTTACTCAATATCAAGCCACACTTATTGTTTTTACTTCGGCTGTGACTTTGTGTGTGCTCAGGATGAGTTTCGCTGTGTATCGCTAAACAAGGAAACAACACCTCCACGGAGCTCAGCGCGATTCACAACGTCCCGACCAATCAGAGCACACTGCTCACAGGGAGGGTGGGGGCTGGAGCTATTAGAGCTACAACGAGCCGTTAAAGGCAGAGAGTGAAATTCAGTGAATACACGTAGTTTACAGAGATGCTGTATGAGAAACCAATGTGAGTTTGGAAAATTGCACAATATAAATCTATTCTAGTAGACCTCAACAATGGAATTATGATCAGTGGAAATGGCCATGACATGTCTCCTTTAAAGCTCTGCTAAAGAGTTTGTATAGCTATGTACAAAAATATAAAAATAAAATCCACTGAACTGAGCTGAAGACATTTCAGAACACATCTACAAGGCCTCATCAATTATGGATTGTATTTGGATCATTTTTGGCCTCTACCTAGGGGTTTTAGAGGATAAGAAAACGGCAGTTGGTAAAGTAAAGATAGATATATAGAGGGAAGGTAGCAATTGTGGCAAAAGGAACAGAGTATGGATTTTGCTTGCGACAGTGTTTTTTCAAAAAGGTCTCCTTTACAGTTTTTAGGTGGGTGTTGCTAAGGCGAAGAGGAGAAATAAGAGCAGAATGCACGGGAGAAAAAACAGGTAATGTGCTAAGCCGCTTTGAGTGGAAATGTGTGAAAAGGAAGGAAAGAGGAAACGTCGGCCTATCTCAGGGACAGATAGTCGATCAATATTCCCAGCTAAGAGCCAACAAGAAGCTCTCTCTCACTCTTCCTCTATCTCTGCCTCTGTCTCTCTCTGTTGGTGTGTCTGGTGAAGGAAGCTGTGGGAGAGGGCCATTGGCAGGTCAATCAGTATTCCAGCAGGCTCTGCCTACTCTGATGTGGGCAGCAAAAAGATTTCACCCGATCTTACAGATCAATAGCTTTACCAAGTGGAAGGTGACCAGCCCGCCTGGCTGGCTGAGCTGCTGCAGTATTCAGAGAACTACACATGCGATGGATGCTCCTCGTCAAGACTCATTTTTAATGCCGTATAGTTCATGGAGTGGCCTTTAAAGCTTCTTTCCATTTGTATTTCTTTTGAAGTAGATTTACGAGGGTAAACACTTTGAGTATTGTGGAACTCTGTGGGGGGTGGACCACATTTTAGAAACACCTGATAAACAAATGCAATTAAATTAAATAACGCCGGCGGCCGGCGGTCATAATGTGAAATGTTTGTATAGACAGAAGTATTGAGACAACTCAGGGGGTGGGGAAGTTATTTATTATGCTGCAAATGTATATAACGCTTGGTGTTAAATGGGTGACACTTCCACTCAGCAATGCATGATTTGGTGTGAATTAAGCCTAATTTAATTATGCAGTTAAATGAATACTTCCCATTGGTGGTATTTTGTTCAAAGTAAAACAATTGTGAAAATGACTATAATTTGAAAATGTTTAGTAACTTTGGTAGTTTAAGGCAGCACAATAAATTCTGCTGAGTGGACGTACACTGCGAGATACATAGCCATGAATAAAATATGTTTCATATGCATCCACAAATAACTTAACACATATAAAATACTACTACTACTACTACTACTACTGTAGCTGCTGCTGCTACTACTAGTACTACACAGGTCAGAAGCCCATCTGTAGCATTAATACATTTTCCTCCATAATATATACAAGAACAACATCAGTAGTTGAGAGATGTCACAGAACAGGCGGATAACACAGTCACATCTCTTAGTGACACCTGTCTCACGGTGTAAAGCAATTGAATCAACACTGGTCATGTTGTGCGGTGTATAGTCCAGCAGGAGGCCTACTGATACTAGCTGCTGATCAGGGTTGTGGATGAACACACACACACACACACAGACAGACAGACAGACAGACAGACAGACAGACAGACAGACAGACAGACAGACAGACAGACAGACAGACAGACAGACAGACACATATATACACAAACACATATATACACAAACACATATATACACAAACACATATATACACACTCAGTCATACCTGTGGTGTTGTGGATTTACAGTGTCCTACTGAGCTGTGATCAGCTCGGAAATAGGATTACTGTTAGCACAGTGGGTACTTTACCACAATTTAGAGCCACAGAGATAAGCACACAGTTGTGTAAACAAATATGAACACAAACTGACAAGAGGTGGTTCCAAATAAACACATCAATATACACAGTACATTGGACAGCCTGCTGAACTAAAGAGGTCTGATGGTCTGGTATCACTTCTTTCTTACTGATTAGGTGCTGAACTGTCATCTCTGCTCCCAGTGGTGACGTAAATACAGCAGACATGCTCAGTGGTTGCACTATAGGAGCGGTGGTGACAGACGATCGATAGAGATCTAATGATCAAGATATCACACTCACACAGGATCCTGCACTCCAAAAGATCACTATCCCCTCACTGTGTCAACGACAAATCTACCAACTGCTGTTTAATATCCTACAACTTACACTTTAATGATGTTGCAGTTGTAGCACAAATCTTGCACTTCGACAAGATCTGATATTTTGCTACGGACTGACTGCGATGTGGTTGAAGCCACGGCCAGATCAATCCGACTTAGCTTTTACCGTCCGATCTCTGAGAGCCGACTCCCTCTCTGGGCCTGGCCAATCACTGTTTTTTAGGCAGGATCAATGGAGAGTAGAATCAACACCATCGGACTTGACTGAGCCTAAGTTGAAGGTCCAGTTGGCAGAAAAACAAACACAGCACCTCATTAAACTCAAAACTCCCATGGCTGCCATCACACAGCCAAGCCTCACCGGGTGCAGCACTGATGGAGAGCGTTGATGTAGGAAGGCTCTAATTGCAGCATGGGGATGTTGGGCCTCTGGATTCCTGCTGCTTAAAAAATAATCCAAACCGCACAGTATTGTGTGTTGTATTAGGTTTGAGTTATGGTTGGTAAAAGTGCCATATTGATGGACTCATTGCTAAAACACTGGATTGACTTGTAGAGACTGAATGGCGGTTCTCCAATCTCCTCTAGCTGTCTCCTTCTGTCTCTCACTGTCACTCACACACAATTGTGTGAATGGATTTGGCATCACAAGTGATGACTCCTCACTCAGCCTCTTCTGTTCCATTTCCTTTCCCCTCCCACTTCCTCCGATACACTTTGTAGCCCTCAAATCTGTCGTCTTTTTCTGTACAGACCTTTTCTGGGCTATTTCTCTGCCTTCCTGCCTTTTCTTCTCAAGTGCCCTATTTGGCTCTGATGACCTCTCTCTCTTCCTCTCTCTCTCTCTCTCTCTCTCTCTCTCTATGCAGGTACCACCAGGCAGCCCAAGGAGGGGGAGGTGCTGGGGGTGGACTACAACTTTGTGAGTGTGGAGCGGTTTATGGAACTGGAGCAAAGTGGAGCCCTGCTAGAGAGTGGAACCTATGAAGGTGAGTGTCCGCTGTGCAGGAAACATTTTGCATTTGCAAGAGACAGGTGCTTGGAGAGCAGAAAGGAGACTGTATGTTTCACTAGAGCTATTTCACTGAATTTCTGAATTCAATCTGCCATCTTGATTTACAGATTTAGATATATTTACCTGATGGATCGAGTGTGTCAGGTGATGTTCGTACACAGTTAAGGCAAACAAAATTATTATTATGCCTGGCTTTTGAATGGCTGGTTGGCTGCTTCAGTGTGTGTGTTTGTGTGAACTGGATGAATGCCATTTCCAAGTCATGTCATGTCTGTGCATCTGCTTTGCTACACTGTCAGGTCAGGGATACATTTACAGATGGGGGATTATCTGGTTCATTTGCCCAGTAGCAATTTTTTTGTTAGTGTGTGCGGCAGAAGCCACTCACACAAATATGTATGCGTGTGTGATTGTGAGTGTGAGAGAACAGGTTCCAGTTTTTACGTGTTTCTTCACTAAGTGTGTGTATTGCGTGTTAACAGGGAATGTTTCCCTTAACACAGAGTTTACTTATGCCCACTGGGGAAAGTTGTCTCTTTCTCTTTCTCGGGTGGCTGCACTGGAGGTGCTGCAACTCATTTTGTAACGCACATTAAAATGTGAGAGATAGAGGAGACGAAGGAATGAGAAAGAATCAGGAGGTAAGGCAGCAAAAAACAGAGGGATATTTCGGCAGCAGTGAAGGAGGCCAAAATCAAATGTATCCTCAGGTAATCTCTTTAAGGTAACTGTGTACGTGTATGCAAGTTGTTTGTGTGTGTGCGCGAATACACGCAGGGCTTGGTCCACATAAGAGCTTATGTATGTAATGATGTGAGATGAGTCACAGCTGAAGGTGGATATTGAACTGTGCAAAAATCCGAGATGCCTTCAGGCAAATACAGAAGCATTCAGCGTTTTTTAAAACCTGCGTGGGGCATAAGGAGGAACTTATCTCAGTTTGCTTTATTTTCTGCAAAGCATCTCTTCAGGTTGTCCTTAAGCTTTCACAGGTGGGAGCTTGCTGACTGTGCAGTTTGATACTCGTGTCTTTGTTTACATGTGCCCGTGCGTGCACATAATATTTTGTTATGATGCGATAAGACTGTTTGGTGGCCAGCAGCGCAAGTGTACTTATTGAGAAAGTGGCTTCCTAATATCTTTCTGCCTCCTGCTGGGATGAAAGTAAAGTGATGTCTATAGACTCTTTTCTGCTGATCTTCCTTTTGTGTTTTATTGCTGCCTCCTTCCCTCTTCTTTGCTCAGCTGTTGTTCTCCTCCCATTGCCCCTGTTCTCTCTCTGTGTTTCATCTTTGTGAAACCTCCACTCTTTTCCACTTTGAGGGATTATACAAATATCTTCCTCCCACTCAATCTCAACAGTTCATCACAAAATATATTTCCCTGACAATGAGGGTATTACATTTCAAATAAAAGTAAAGCTTTATTGTGGTTTAAACGCAAATGGCCCAAGTAAAGAAATGGGTCCATTAAAACAATATAATTTCATAGCACAGTTCCGAATTTAAAGACGCTTCAATCTCAATCAAAAAGAGAGAAATATACTTTTGATGTATGGAGGATCTTTGCATCTCCAGTAAGATGCCCTTGGGACCTTCATGTTTTATCTAATTGTACGGTACGTGTTGTACCAGCAGAACCACTTCTGTGTGATATGACAGACGCAGAATGCTATTTTTATGTTTTGCTATTATATTTGTGCTTGCGTCTCCAAACAGAGCTGTGCTCTTACATGAGTATATGACACAGCTGTGGTTGTTTTCATACAAATCAAGTGGTTTTGTACAGTTTTGGTAACAATTTTATCATGAAATTGATCCTGTTTCTACCTGCTACTCTAATCCACACCGTTAGTAGAGACATTTATTTTCATAAGACATTTTTGTTGTAGCTTGACTGCACAACTATTGTTATGTTCCCAAACAGGTGTGCATCATTAAGCAGAGGAAGCACATTGACAGGTTTGTTTTGGCTCCCAAAAGATTAATTTATCTACCAAACGGACATCGCCTACTCTTGAGACATATTTAGGATGCTGTATTTATATTTGGAGTTATGTATTTTCTGCTTTAGGATTCCGCACCAACTTATTTTTACTTAGGAGAAGCAAATCTCCCCCGAACCCATTAAGGACACTGCCGACTGTTAATGATGCAGTTGGGTTTTATTGAAACCCCGACTCTAACTAATAATGTTGTACTTGGTGCTAACAGAGTAATAGTTTTTCTTCCTGCACACACACACTGCCTCATTCCTGCAACAGTTGTAGTTGAGGAGAGTCGGCCTAATTAAGAAGAACGGACAGCTGGTTTGGCCTCCAAGAGCCAGCGAACTACTGAGTCAGCTAATTTAACATAGCAGCAGTGCAAACGTTTTATCAACCCACAAAGTACTGTGTAAAGTGAGACTCTCTCTCTGTTTCTCAATGTGGATCGGTCCATTAAAACAAAACCAAAGCCCTACCTTGACCGGGTCTATAAGAACCTGCATGACTTAAACGTTAGACACTTACCTTTGCTAACTTTCTGATGTGCTGAGATTTTAAATCAGGGTTATACAAAACTGCAATGTTGCTGCAACACAGACTACATGAGTGTCTGCAGTATGTGAAGTTCACATGATAAAATGGGCCACTCTAAATGTACATTTACACTGACCAATCAAACACACATTGCAAAACTGAAAGTCTTCACTGAGGCAGAGAGAGTGTGGATTGTGAAGTCTGATGGAAAGAGAGATGAGGGTGAAGAGTCACCTCAGACTGTGGATGTCACATGTATGCACTTTGTATTCTCTATAAATAATGTATTATGATATCATTGATGGGCGAGACGACCATATTTATTGGACTATAAATAAAACCATATAAACAGAAAACTCTAAGAAGTGAAAAGATGAAAGTGTAATCCCTATGACAACTTCAATGTGAGGATTTAACTTTTTGTTCTCCCTCTTATTAAGGTTTTGTTTATTTTCTCTTTACAAGTAATAACATTGGCATTCTTGTTATGTTTACAAAGCCAAAAACACTAATATTTGGATACTTGATCCTGTTTGGGTCCGTTCATGGTTTCAAGCAGGAAGATTTTTTTTTCAAGCAGGAAGAAATTAACAATCGCTCCTAATTTATTCCTAAAACACAATCCACCGTCCAGTTGCACATAATTAGAGATCAGGTTTATTAGGAGTTATTAGTTCCCAGGCAGAAACAGAGTGAAGGTATCTCTGCTGCAGTCTGTTGAGACAGATAAGTCCTACATTTTGAAAGGCAATCATCTGTTCAAAGTCAGAGTTGCCCAGGAGCGGTGGACCTCCGCTCTGCCTGCCAGACGGTGTGTTACATCACCTAAAATCGCTCTTTAGTCAGACATGTGGCCTCTAACAGCCATGCCGCTGTGCCTCTCTGCCCTCAGATAACTTCTACGGCACCCCGAAACCCCCAGCGGAGCCGTCCCCCGCAGCACCTCCTCTGAATGTAAGTGAGGCCCTGCTGCCCGGAGCCCGGCCCAGCGCCCAGGGCAAGAGGAAGAGGAACCAATCCGTCAGCAACATGGAGCAGCGAGCCAGCCTAGAGCCGCCTGAGGAGGAGGAGGAGGAGGAGAGCCCGGTTGTCAACGGCAACGGAGTGGCCATCACACCAGGTACTGTAGGATGGGCGAGAGAAACATCAATTTCCCCATTGAGATGTTTTTATACTGCATTCACTTATGACTAAACTCAGACTTCCATCGTGGTCTGTTTCCCAAGTGTCGTGATGACATTTTAAAACATCATATTTAAGTTAGGAAGAGGAAGGACTGAACGTCTCACTGGTGTTATTTTGTCAAATTGAACCAGGTCAGGTGTCAAAGCCTTTCCTTTTTAATGTTCCTTATGGATAGGTCTTAACTTCTTTAGTCTAGTTTCATGTCTGAAGTTTAAGCAGCACAGCGCATGTAGATGGCTACAAATCTGACTACAAACTGTTCCCTCACCGCTCGTTATGGACATTAACAGACTCTGTTAGCATGAGTGTGAACTACACAGGTTCTCAATAACCTTATACAACACAATGCACAAGGGCACCCTAATGTCTCCACTATTATCACTGTCCAGAGTCTCATTTTGGCTTCAGCTCTCGTTTCTTTGTCCTCTCATTCCTCTCTCTCCTGCTGCCTCTGCTCTCCCGCCATTGGCCTTTGTCCTTGTTTCTATTAATACCCCAACTGCCCCTCTCTCCTCCTCTCCTCTACTATCTTCTTCCTTCTGACCTCTCTTGCTTTTTTTTCGTCTCCCAGGTCCTGTCCCTTTTGCCCTCTCCTCTTCCTGCTCCTTCCCCCATCTGTCTTTGGTGTCTGTGTTGTTGTAGCATTTCATTTTTTTCTCCTACTGTCATTTGTTTTCCATTGTTACTGACCCTCACATTAGCACAGCACATCAGTTTTTAGACTTGCTCTTAGGCCATTGCAAAAAATGCAAGAAATGTCTGTAATTTAATGCTGATACCACATTAAGACTACCATTAAGAATGAGAAGATGTTGATGTTCACAAGACAAAATATCTAATACCCTAATAAGGACTGTGACAGAGCATTGAATCACTTTAAACATATTTTTTCTTTGGGAATTATGTTTTTTTAATCTTTAATAAAAGTCCCAATTTCCAATGTTGTTGCTTCTCATCTGATGACTTAGATGCCACCAGCTTTTCTTGTCATTCAAAAAGCCTTTTTTGTGTTTCTGACTCGGTCTCTGTCCCCTAAAGTCTATGTCTTTTCCTGTTTCTCTATTTCTGACATCCCCATGTTGTTTTCTGCTCATGCTTATTGTCCTCAGACCAAATCTATCTCTCTCTCTCCTGGGGGTTCATAGCTCCGCACTGGCTTGGCTCTGACTCATCATGCTTGGCGTGTGTTGTGTGCACCCAGCAGTGTATGTGAGAATAACTGTGTGTGTGTTTGTGTTCTCCACAGAGTCCAGTGAACATGAGGACAAGAGCACAGATGCCTCTGGGGAAGTTGCTGTTGAAACGTCCGGCCAGGCCCCAGCCTTTGTCGAGCCCCCTTCCGAAGGAGAGGAGGCCCCCAAATCTCCCTCTAAATCCCCCATCAAGATCCCAGACCCAGACGAGGAAGAGTTGGGTCCTCTTCCCGACAACTGGGAGATGGCCTACACCGAGAAGGGGGAGGTCTATTTCATCGAGTAAGAGGAAAAGCTCCTACCTAGTTATTACGTTTTGACATCTTTTAAAGACAAACAGCTGCGTTTGCTTTATCGCATGTAGATGTCACAGGGGTTAAGTGTTTTGTATGATAATAAAAAAACATTACGCTTGTAAATAATAAAAAACACTTAAAAACAAATAGAATGTAATGAACCTCACAAAGTGCAAGTACTTGGCTTGGTGTGTAAACTTTATAGCACTGGACTGTTAAATAATTGATGTAACATAATGCTCAATCACACATACTGGATAAACACACACACACACACACACACACACACACACACACACACACACACACACACACACACACACACACTCGTGCAGTTCATACTGGTCATTAGTGTCACCTTCTCTCTGACCTCTGTTCGCCCCTCTTCTCTCCTTATTGCCAGTCACAACACCAAAACTACATCATGGCTGGATCCTCGGCTCGCAAAGAAAGCGAAGCCTCCAGAAGAGTGCAGAGAAGACGGTGAGTCTGATTGTTGTTTTGTGATTTTTAGTTTCTGTTCATCTGAGTCAAGCTCATCTTTCAGCATTTGTAGGAGTGCTTCGTCTCTGTATTTTCTGCTGTTTGTGAACGTTTTTTGTCTGCTCCTTATTCACTGCTGCAGCGTGTTTTCCCAACTCATGAAAAAGAGCTCAAGCATAGTTTGTTGTGTTTGTTAGTCTGCAGCTGGTCTCCCACTTCTCTGCAGATCCACAAAGTTTTTCAAATCAAGAAGAATACATTTGACAAATATATTAATCTTTTTTAGATTTGTTGTTCAGAAGTGTTCATTAGCATAGATGCATCTTGCAAGATATTTAGAGCGGAATGCAATCATTTCATCCATTATTCTTTTTTATGCTTCATAGCCAAATATCTTCTATAGTAGTTTATTGAAATGATAGCCAGACATTACTGTAAAATATCAAGATAAATAAACCAAACTTTTTTCTAGACACAAGCTACAATTTATAAGATGGACAACGCCTCTTCTTACTCTGATGAAACATTTTACCTGTCCAATTTAGGTCGTTACACCGTATAAAAAAGCCCCTACTATAACATTCTGCCCCTAACCTCATCAGTCTGGAACAAAACTTTGTTATTTCGTTTTTAAAAGGTTAAGGATGACATTAGATTTGGATTAGTTCTCAATAAATCCCATAAACATTACAGTCCTTTTCTCCTGTCTGTGGAGGTGAAATGCAACTACTAATACAATTACTGTGGCGTTTAGTAAACTTTGCTCAAAGAGAAGAACATAGTGTATTTGTTGCAGAATATTTTCATTCAATAATAAAACACTAGTGCAACTTTTGAAGTTTGTGATCACTTTAAAAGACGTATGCCTACTTATGTCCTTTCAATCCGCAGTGGACTGATGAACCAAAGAGAGATTTTCTCTGATTGTTTAATTTAGGCCCAATCCCAAACCACACCCTACCCCTACACACTACCCCTCCGTTCGCGCGGAGGGTCCACCACATTAAGTTCTGTTCCGAACCAACGAGTGTAGAGGGGGAGTGGGCTATCAAGCCCTCAAACAGCGAGTCTGCAGCGGTGCTGACTGGAGACCGGTCTCTACCTGACCGGAGTCATACTGTGTGTGTCGGTCAGGAAAGACGCTGTTTACATGTAGTTCCAGCAAACATCCACTGATAAACTGCGATGTTAACAACCTCATGATAGCCTCATATGTTTTAATTTAGGATCATACATGTGTTTAGTCTAGAAAAAGGTAAATGTGTGCATTTTATTATAAAGTTGTGTATATTTACAGACTGTTGCAAAAACTAAGAAGCTTATAAACATCAGGTTTAAAACTAAAAGAGCTTTACAAAAAAGTAACACAATGAAAGATGTTTGGATTTTTATTTTAGTTATTAATTTAAATTTTTTGTCAAAGAGATGCTGATTTGAAACCGTTGTTACATACAGTTACGGCATTTCCTGTTTCTGCCGGAGAGGGTGGAGTTTGTCCCAAAGCTTGCTGCTGTATTTACTCCCTCCATCTGACAGGAGGGAGCCTCATTGAGCTGCGAGTGTCACTCCACGGAGTTCACTGTGTAGGGTGTAGGGCGTGGTTTGGGATTGGGCCTCAATGTACAGGTCTACAAATATAAATGTAAAAGAAGCAGTTTTATAAAACATATATTATTATTTTTGAAGCCGTTCATCCTGGCCCCTCAGATTTATCTGGTGGCTCTCCATCTATCTATCCCCACTTGCTGTAGCGAGGCTTTAAAGCAGCGGGATCATGAATGTTTTTCATTGTTTTCTAGTGCTCTTCTGGCACAGAGGATCTCAGGCATAGGATACCCACATAGTACTTGTGTTTGCATGTTGGATCAATTAATTATTCATTTTTCAAACAGTTTGAATCAGGGGATGAAAAATGTCTGCAAAGATGAAAAAAAAAAACGTTTTTAGACACTTAAAAAATAGAGAACATTTGGTTAAGTCCATGAAAGACAAGCACTTGTTTCAAACAGAGTTCCTGTGTTGATCAGATAAACAACAATAAGGCGGTCTTACATCCCTGCTGCTGTCCTATCCTTCGTTCAGCAAATAAGGTTGTGATGTGATTCACCAGAGCGAGATCTGGTGAATACACATTCTCCCTCTCCTCCATCTCTTACATTTTCTCCCTCCTCCATTCTCCTCCTGCACTCCTTCACCTCACGTCTTCCTCTTTCTCTCTCCCTTTCAATCTACCACCCCTCAATTTCCCTCCTCTCTCCCTTTTTCTCTCCCACCTTCGTTCTCCCTCTCTCCCTCTCTTCATTTGACCAGTAAAAGGCCGAGCTGTGACAGGAATTCTAATAACTCTCTGCACAAACTGGTTCTCTCTCACACACAAACACTCACACACACAAACTCGCACACACATACGCACAATACCGTTGTCAATTCACCCTTTCCTAAATCGTGGCCAACGTACTTCAGCTTCATCTTGGCAGAGCAAAGATCACTTTCACTAACGCCAGCAATGTTCAGACGCCAAGATGCTGTCAAGTGCAATCTGTGATCTCTTATTTTGAGTTTTAATGCAGCAGCTTGCTTTAAAAAATGCAATAGTTCTGAGATATAAGATCTAAAGAACCAATACAAAATTACGAATGACAACTTGTGACAAACATTTATACCTCAAGGAAGGGTCTGGTCTTGTAGTGAGTTATGTTTATTAGAAGCGGATTCAAAAATATATTTATGTAATTAAATAACAGGACATTGTTTTTTCCCCCACTTCTGTCTAGAAATATGGAGTAAACCATGTAAGATATTGTTGAGAATGGTTGTGTTTGATTGTATTAGCATTATTACAAATATGATTTTTTTTTTAACACAACCTGTAAGTTGCTCTCTACAAACACAATTTGCCTTTTTTTCTTACATTTGCCTTGAAATGTAGATCTGTGCCTTGATAGGGGAATTAGCTTCATCAAATATGTTTTTGAAAGGGACAAAATATTGATTTACGTCCCTTTTTTACACGTTTTTGTCCATTTATCTGCAGTTTATTTAAGAGAAGCTGATGTGGGCTTGTTCTCTTACGCTCTGTCTTCTTCTGTCTTTGGGGAAGCAGTGGTTAAAGAAAGCTTAAGCAAACACCTCTGGCAGAGGATTTTGAATCAAAGGCTGTCAGCAGAGCGTTTGTAAGGGTCCTGGATGACACATCCCAATTTCTCGCAGCACTTTTGAAAATATTCTTTTTCAGTTTAAACGGCTCAGCAGGCACGTGGATGACAGAAGGATATACAGTAGTTTAATCCAGCATGCCGCTGTACATCACTCACTCAGTTGGTATTTTCGTTGGTGTCCTGTAGCTCTTTCTCATGTGCTCCATTGCCTGTTTTCTGATGCATACTCTTTATGCGTGAAATGACAATTTAAAGGAAATGTTCAATTTTTGCCCACATTAATGGACATGTAGTTTTTGAACGATAAAATATGCATGTAGGCAAAGAAGTCTTTCTGCAAGGAGAGTGGATAAACAACACATGTGGGGAGGAAACAGCAGGAAGGGGCGGCGCTGTTTCTAACTGCCCATCTGCCTGAAGGACTTCCCAGAGTCTCTCAGGCAGACGCAGACACACGTTCAGACATACTTTCAGCAGTGCTGTTTCTGAATCGTCCCTCTATTTATTCCCTTTCTGCCATTTCATGCATGTCTAGCATTTTGTTCCACTTTCCTTTAGCATTTCATATCCTCATTGACTATTCCTTTTCCCCATCACTATTGGGGTGAATTCGAGGAGAACATCTCTATGTTGACGTGTTTCTGCCAATTTGCAACGTTTGTGTGCATTGTATCTATATGGTGAGGTTGACTCTCAAAGTTCAAAGGCCTGTCACCACAGATATGGGTTTGCTTGCAGTCTTTTTGTCAGGCGGGTCTTTTGTTACACAACACAAGTGGATATCTTCTCTCTCGCTCAGAAGAGGAAAGTACAGAGGGGTACAAGCTTCAAATCATGCGTTGGTTTCAATTCTGCCTTTGATATGCACTCCTAACCTCGGTTTCAAAGTAATCTCAGTGCTGGTGACGGAAAATATGCCGCTTATTATTATCATTTAGAGGCAGGAGTTCTCACTGATGCTGATTTCATGACGTCAAACCCTGTCTGAAACCCACAGAGAAGGAATTTTAGAGTTTAGAGAATTAGACTAAGAGAATTAGACTGGACAGATATGGTGAAAATAAAAACGAGTGAGTGAGTGAGTGATGAGGTAGGGTGGTGATGCTGAGCAGAGGGATGTTGTGAAGTGTTTCTTCTTGAAAAGAGCAAGACAATTACAAATGAAGATGAGGTGAGAGAGGTGTGAAAAATGAGGAGCGTTGCACCACAGCATCCACTGTCAGACAGCGATGGACTCGTGCTAAAATGTTTCTCTGAGTTACATCACTCTTATCAGTCATGTCTGGGCCAGGGCCATTTCTCTGCCTGTATCATTCTCACCCCTTTTCTTTAATATTCCTGTTTTCTTTACCTCTTTTTTCTGTATTGATAATTGTTTGTTATTTATTATGTCCGCTTTCTTCATTTAGGCTCAAAGCTGACAGTGTTCATTTGCGAGTGCAAACACATAACAACACAGAGCGGCAGTTATATCATTTGAGCTGCAACAACAAATACATTTATTGATTCCTCAAAAAACACAAGGTTGTTTAGTCATGTGTCTTTTCCTCCAGCACCATCATATCATCAAAATATTAATTGTGGCTTATGGACAAATACTCTCAAAACAAATGACATTGCTGTAAATTGTGAAGAAGAAGAAGATTGAACTTATTGTTATTACGTAGTACAGGCACTATGTAACGAAACGGTTCCTCTGCATTTGACCCATCCTGGTGTTAGGAGCAGTGGGCTGCCATTATGTACGGCGCCCGGGGAGCAGTGTAGGGAACGGTGCCTTGCTCAGGGACACCTCGGTAGCACTTGGTCTTTCCAGGATTTGAACTGGTGACCTTCCAGTTGCCGAGCCAAGTCCCTATGGACTTTGCCACCACCGCCCTTGTGTTAATGGTTATTAGCAAATATTAATGTATAATCATATGATGGTGAACATAATGAAAACATGAACCTAGCTAAACATAGACCGATTGCCCTTGTGAACATATAAGTGCCAATCATGTTTTCCAGCGTTTTTTCAGTGCTTAATTAGTTTTCTATGATACTGTAATTGAATAAAACTATTTTATTCATAATTTAGTACTGAATAGCTGCTGTATGTTTCCCTCAGTGTGGGATCAATAGGGCTTTTATATATTGTACTGTATGTACTGTTAAACTTTAGACGGTTGGTCCAACATTATGTCAACTTGGGCTTTGAGAAATTGTGATAGAAAAGATTATTTAACAATTAATGGAGACAAAAGTTGGCAAATGAATTCATATTGAAATTAAATAATCATTAGTCGCAGCCCTTCTGTACTTAAATATGAGTTATTTCTTATCAAAGGTTTGGAGGGTTTTTGAGGTGGTTAGTATTTTTTGTGCGAGTCAGATGAGTTCATTGTGTGTGTTCCTGGCTGCCTTGTTGGTCAGGGCGGCTTTGTGTGAGAGGGAAGATGAGTCATCTAATGCAGAGAATCACAATTAGACCTCATGTCAGGAGAGACAACGATACACATGCACACAAACAAGCACCCGAACACACAAGCTAGCCCCTTTGTGCTCAAACTATATCCAGACACATGAGGAGGTGATGTTGTGTCAAAACTAGATGACAGCTACACTCATATACAGATGCAAACACAATTCAGCCATCTGATAGACACACACACACACACACACACACACACACACACACACACACACACACACACACACCTTGAAAATATAGAGTCATGAATGCATAAAACACACACACAAACACACCCTCTCTCTCTGTATTTCAGCAGCAGGAAATAGAGACAAGACAGAGGCCTCAGCTCAGGCGAGAAAAAAAAAACTTCCACTGGTGGTTTCCATGGAAACTGTCTCCCTTTCACTTTAGGGGGAGGGCAAGCGACTAGTGGATGAGTTAGGCCGACATTTAAGGTGGCTTGCGGACAAGGTGGGAGGGAATTTAAGGTGGTTTGAATCCGACTTTTACACCTCGAGGATGAGAAGGGCCTTTTTAGGTAATGGCAGAGAAGTGCAGACGGTAACAGACCATCGATAATTACGGAGTGCACCCTTTCACCTTGGGCTGCACAGTCAGCATGCTCGGCAGCTAGAATACACAAACACACACACGCACACACACACACACACTGGATTATTGGTATCAAGATCAGAAATCTGTTCTTAATTGCATTACAGCGTGAGAGGATGATGTCACAGTATCAGTGCCATACCGACCGAATAATTGTAAAAATAATAGAGCTCAATATTTTTATGTGTGTGTGTATCTGTGTGTGTTCAGTGAATCTCGAAAGACTTTGGGTTTGGGTATTGTTTAAACGTTTTTGTACTTTTGCTCATAAAATGCCCTAGTTCGGTAGAGATATTACAAAACAATATAATTGTAATACGTTTTTTTGGGGAGTAATAAACCTCACCATTCGATGCCAACACTTTATTGTCACTGGGATGGATTATTGACTTCTGCATGCTGAAGGTTTGAAACGGAAGCATCAAAACTACACTCCCACCTTCCAATACAAATCACAACCTTTTTCCTTGTGTGTGTGTGTGTGTGTGTGTGTGTGTGTGTGTGTGTGTGTGTGTGTGTGTGTGTGTGTGTGTGTGTGTGTGTTATGCTCAAGGATTAAGAATTAAGTTCCCTTTTGTTAGTGTGCTTATTGTCTCTTTCAATCTGTATGACACTGGTATTCATATGCTTTCATCATGTTTGCTTTATTTCCCTGTGGAAAACAGCCTTCTATGGACATAGTTATGAATTTCATGAATTAGACTCTGACATGAGGATGAATTAATATGAGGGAGGAAACCTTTCAAGAGCGTTTGCTGATGAATGCTAATCAGGAGCGCAGTATTTCAAGAATTTGTCTGAGTAGGAGGGGAACTGTTACTGTGTGTGTATGTTAGCTGAGCCTTATAGTGTGAGGTCAATCCTCTTGAATGATAAAGAAAAAATAGAATTTTGCACATCTTGCAGGTTCTTATTATAGTGACCTGTATATAGTGTTTAAGTGTCAGTGGAAAGTAGGAAGGATAGGGCATATGCAACAGGAAGTGTATCAGTGCCTTGACCCAGGTCTTTTATGATCGAGAGAGGATAAATACATCTGCCAAGGGATGGATGAATGTTTGAAGGGAACAGAGAACCAGAGGATGACAATGAACACAACAGCTATAGAAGTTTCCAAGGTTAAAACGAGTGGGTGTGTGAAAGAAAAATAAGAGACAAACAACACAAAGTAGTAAGGTGAAGGTATTGGGCCTTGAAGGATTTGTGCACCGAACAAAAGGACTGAATGAAACAGGGTGGGATGAGATGTGTCAGAGGATTTAAATGCTCTCTCCTCCCGCCCTGCTCTGTATTGATATCTGTGTTGTGAGTCGTGTCACCATGACGAAGCCACCACTGCAGATCGAACTGCTGTCTGTCTATTAAGGGAGCACTTTGGGAGGGTCCCGCTGTGAGCCCTGAGATTCATGTTGTCTCCCCTCAGTGGTTCAATTTAGTGTCTGCCTTCCTTCTCCTGCTCTCAGCATAAACTGACTTAATTTCCCTTGTCTGTTTTCTCCTTCCTCTCAGAGCTGCCCTATGGCTGGGAGAAGATAGATGACCCCATCTACGGCAGCTACTATGTAGAGTAAGTCTCCCTCAGACTTAGGTTAAATCTGCTGCTCTGTAGTAAAACAGAAAGTGCATTTCTACAGTTTACAACGCATTATTATGAATTATAAATGACTAAATTCTCATTTCGTTTTTATGTCTCACTGCTTATTTAACTTCTACAGTGAAAGGCTCATCTGTGTTGGCTATAAAGGGAAGTCTGCTGATAAAACCGGCTCACATGGTCAAAATTATATTAATGTGTTGCATTCAAAACATACTGTATTGGTACCTAACTGCTGTTGAGGTTGGAAATACATTATACATTTTGTTGTCGCCCAAATCAATTTATCCGTAATTTGAAGCTGAACAGTAAAAGTGGAAGACAGTTTTGGGATCCTTTAACTTGTGAAATATATTTTACAACATTTGGTTGTAGGTGTAAATTACTTTAGGGATTACATTTGACATGCAAGAGACATAAACATATCTAGAGATTTGATATATTGGTATGTTTCAAACTAGCCAACAGTTTACTTTGTAGTTAAACAGAATGTATTTAAGTTGGGATCAATACAAGTGTATGTTGACCACATAGATTACACGTGGCAGAGCAACCCCCCGCACTCTTAAACGTTTAGAAGTTGAAAGATTTCAAATGAGTGTATTATATAGCTGGACTATTGATTCTCAGTGGGACCAACAAGATTAGCCACCCTTTTTTCATAATAAAATATTGATCAATAAAGTTTAAATCATATGTTTAAATATCTCCCTTACTAAACACAATGAAAATAAATAAAATGTTGAGTTACCACTTCTTTAGTGCATTTTACTGAAAATATGTTTTCACTTTGGGTATAAGAATTGATATCTTAAAGATTGAAATATGAAATCTTCCATTGTTTTGAATGGTGCATTGTATTTTCAGCCATATCAATCGAAGGACTCAGTTTGAGAACCCGGTCCTGGAGGCCAAGAGACGCCTGGAGCAGGAGAGGCAGATGCAGAGCCAGGGGCTGTCCGCTCTGCCACTGCCCACGATATACAGAGGTACATGGAAAACCACACTATGTGCAGTTCTTAAATCCAAACATGCTGACATGCTCAGAGTTTCACACATTTCAAAATACAAGAACTCCAGAGAAGACATGTGGGTGTGATCTTTAGGTCATTAAGGTCCCTCGAAACCTGTGTGCTGATTGATGAATTAAATGTTAATAATTCTATTTGAAATGGTTGTAAGAACATTGAGGGATGGGCTAGGAAAACAATGACAAAATGAATTGAGTTTTTAAAGATGCACAATGTACAGGGTCGAATAGAGATGGCTGGCAGTGCGGGGGACAGGGAACACGCTCGCCCTGAGGCCCCTGCTGGGCTCATCTGAATATGAGCACGTATTAGATGAAGCAGTACATAATGGTCTGAGTGCAGACTCCACTCATCTTGAATGAGTCAGCTTATCAAGAATTAAGGCAATAGTGTCTCTGTTGCTGCATTAGTGTTCAGAAAGAATGCACAATAGGTTCATTCTGAAAATGAAAAGAAAACCAAGATAATGTGACAAATCAAATGTACATGATATCTAAAGTTTAAAATCCTTCTGTCCCTTCAGAGAAGCCTCTGTTTACGAGGGACCCGACCCAGCTGAAGGGGAACTTCCTGTCCACAGCCCTGCAGAAGAGCAACATGGGCTTTGGCTTCACGATCATCGGAGGAGACGAGCCCGACGAGTTCCTGCAGGTGAAGAGCGTAATACCAGACGGACCCGCGGCTCAAGACGGAAAGATGGACACAGGTAATTATGTGTACCAACGCAGGATTTAAACAACTGGTTGAGAAATAAATTCAGGTTTAAAAAAATGTATGCTGTTACTGGCTGCTGATCTTGTAATACTGTTTTTGTAGAAAGGCTTGAGCACAACCTCATTACTCTGACACCTCAAAAACAACACCACCTTTCATTTCCTGCCAAAGCAGATCTTGCTTGGGGCAGAGGTATCGCTCTTCAATTGGAAGGTTGTAGGTTCGATCCCGGGCCCCTGCAGTCAATATGTTAATGTGACCTGGGTCAAAATACTTAACCCCAAATTGCTCCCGAAGGCATGGCCAACCGTGTGTGTTTGTGTGTGAATGTTACTCTGACTGGGGTTGAATGAGTGTACACAGACTTTTTGTATTTTAAAAGCGCTTTGAGCGGATGCAAAATCTAGAAAAGCTCTATATAAATGCAGTCCAATAACAATTTAATTGCAGCGTTTTAACTGAAATTAAATTGTTTTATTGCAGAGATAAAAACAGTTCCCCTCCTGACTCCGACTTTTACCCCTTAGCCCTTAAATCACATCCACATTGTCTTGTGTTTATATTTAGATGTTGTCCTCAGTGATTTAAAGAGTGCTTCATATTCTCTTTATAGACGGTTAATTTTGTCAGCAGATGTGTAGATTTAACGTTAATCTCTCTCTCCCATTAAAAAGCTATTAAGGCTTGATATCGAGTAAGTTATGCTTGATTAACAGATTAATTTGGACTTTGACTGATTGACAAAGAAAGCAGTAATAAAACATCGGATGATGTTTTGTAGTCTTGTTGTCGTAAGGACATTTAAAAAATATATATATATATTTTAATATTTATTTAATTTTTTTTTTTTATTCAGCTAAGTCCATTGATGCACAATTTGTATTAGTTGTATGATGAATAGATGTTACCTGTTATGTGAATACAATTGCAGTTATACTTGAAATATTAAAGCACATCTTGGAATTGAATATCATTGGTAGAAGTTTCCTGTCCCCATAAATATAATGTTGTCCTCAAAGGGTACATCATTGGCCTCTGATGGTGCATTTGAGGTGCCCTATATTTGAGCCGGTAGCACAGTGTGTCCCAGACAAGGACTTCAGTTTTCTTTAAGCACACCCTCTGTGCTCTGTACAGGGCATCATTACTATGTGCTTTGAATGGGAATGAGAGGAGCTGATTCGATTGGCTATAACTGACATCAGCCCACACAACACCTACTTCAGCAGGGGATTTATTCCTGCTTTGTCAATGAAGCTGCACATGTGATATTACTACACCGGCCTCAGTGGTCATGCTGTTCTCAAAAATCAGTAGAACATGGGAACACTAGTTATTGTCCCATACTTGTGTTTCTTCTTTGTTTCATAAAAACAAGAAACGGCAACATCCACACAAGCTGTAAATCATTTCCCCATGGCTTAATAAACAGTTACAGAGACACTGCTACATGTCTATGTGGAAGGTTAACCAGCAGTGGGTATGATATTTGCAATATTCTTTAGTAGACAGTAAACCATTTACTCTGTGTTGTTTTGAATGGAAGCATAATTTTCATTTGGTTAACAAAGAATCGTTTTTACGATGACAAAGACGATGCAATAACGATGAGGAACTAATTTCATCTTACACTTACTGCGACAATATCGACATGCAGTATATTTGATGGAAAAGATAACACTAAAATATATATTTTTAAATAAAAACTTTCTTAAAGTCTTTTCTTATTTTCTTTCACTAAAAGAAAAAGAGGAGAACAAATATAATAAACAGTTTAAAATAAAAATCCATATCAGGAAGGGTATTACTTCAGAGAGTAACTAAAGTCAAACCAGGGTCTTGGAGAATGATACACAGGGGTATTTCTTTTTTTTGTGTGGACATTTTGAATATAATCTGATGACTAACAAAGAAGAAATGATCAACAGTTAAGTTGCTCTAATTGTTCCACTTAAATGCAGACTAAAATGCCCAGATTGTAAATTAAAAATAAACAAGATGAGGTTAACTAAATATGATACAAACATAGAACGACAAAAGACTTACTGAAAAGATTTGCTAACTAATTTAAAACCACCCCAAAATATTGATTTTTAAGCATTAACAGAAACCAGCCTTACAGTAGTTTGGACATCATCCCAAAGAGCTGATGTCAGTAAATGTCGGAGTGGGATGCAGTCATACGCTCAGAGGAGGCAGTGCTGTGTGCTAGGCTCTGAACCTGAGAGCTGTCCTCACGCCTGCTCTGCTGGTGTCTAAAATGCTCATTTAGAGATAGCTTCAGAGCCGGGAATCCTCCGCCCTGCTCTCAGCTCCTGCTCTCTGCTTTTTATGTCTCTCCCTCTGCCTGTCAGTTTCTCCTTTATCTGGAATCCATCTCTTTCTATTTTATCTCCATCCCTCTCTTTGTCTCTCTGGCTTACCCTTTGTTATGCTCCCTTATCTAACCATGTTATCTGACACTTCTCCTCTGCTCTCAGCCTCAGTATATTTCCATCTTCTTTCTCTTTCAACCTCTCTAGTTTTTCTCTCCTCATCCCTCTATACTGGTCTGTCAGCCCTTTCCTCTCTCTCTCTACTTGCTCCTATCCACTCTGTGACATTGCCAGAGCTGCTCACACACATCTGTGCGTACACACACATTCACACTCATGCATGCACACAGTCACAGAGTCACTCCCTGGCAGAGATTAGCTGGCCTATTTGAGCTGTGTGGCGTTGCTCTTAGGGATTGTGTATGATTGTGACATGCATGGTGTGTGTTTGTGTGTGTGTGCATGTGTGACAGAGACTACTCCCAGAAGTGTGAAATAGAGGATTTGAGGCAGTAGCATTTGTCATGGGGCTGTGACTTTTAATCCGAAATCCATAACTTTCCGCACATTCAAACTACAGCGGAGAGGACAGAATATCTAATGTCGCATTTGTGAAATTGTTTCACCTCGTTGTTATGGGTTTTGTAGGAAAATGTCATCGACCCGGCTGGTAAGGTGAATATGAACATAACATGTAGTGAAGTGAGGAAATTAGATCGAAAAAGCACTGTGTGACCTGACAAAGAAAACTATGCACACAAGATCATAAACAATTGTATATTGTATATTCACAAAGACACATACTTGTAAATTGACCGCAGTGGGGGTGACCTGATACTATATTTGCTCTGTGACACTTTAGAGGGACAGAGTGTTTCTTCTGTGTTGTAACAGCGTGTCCTGATACTGCTGGGATTTGTCATTCATAGCAACAGACGGTGAAAAGTTGTGTTTTTTCAGCACAGTATGTTCGCACAGAGTTACACAGAGACCAGATCACGTGGTGTGTGTAATATGTAACATACTGTGAGCAGGGCTGAAGCTGTTTCTCTTTGCTCCTCAGGTGATGTCATCGTCTACATTAATGACATCTGCGTGCTTGGCACCACGCACGCTGACGTGGTCAAGCTTTTCCAGTCCGTTCCCATTGGTCAGAGCGTGACCCTGGTGCTCTGTCGAGGCTACCCCCTGCCCTTTGACCCCGAGGACCCCAGCGGCGCAGCAGCGAGCGCCTCCTTGACACCCATTGGCATGGAGCACCGCCCCCTGGTGGTGAACGGCCGCGGCAGCTACGACCCGTACCTGGAGTATCTGTCGCTAAGCTCCCAGCTGCCTCCGCAGGCTCTGGCTCAGGCCGGAGCCCCCCACCCCGGGGACACACATCTGGATGGCTCTTCGCTGCCGCCCACCACACCTGGGTCGGCATCGGCACTCACGCCCCACGACGACAACGTGTCCATGGCCTCCTCTGGGAATGCAGGGGTTGCAACAGCGCAGGGGGCGGAGCTTCTGACAGTTACCATGGTGAAAGGGGCGGAGGGATTCGGGTTCACCATTGCCGACAGCCCCACTGGTCAGCGAGTAAAACAGGTGATGTTTCATGTCCACCTGCACATGAATGAGTACATTAATGATAGTTAATGTGTTAATTCTAAAGTTTCAGTCGTCAGCTTCAGCAACAAAGTTGGTTTACAAATTAAACTTGATCTAAAACAGAAGGTCATCGCTCATTTAATTTAGTTAACGCTACTGAGTAGGAAGAGATTGAGATAATAGGAACAAATTGTGTTCAGCCTGTAAAGGATTTTGTATCTGCTAAAATAGTAATGACTCTTAGAAATAGATCAAATAGAGCAGATGAGTCATGACAATGAGACAGATTATATTTCTCATCCCTGTTGTATTTGTACAGCATTATAAATAAATAAAAAGAGTTCTGTCTTTGATGTTATCTGCACATGCTCCTTAATTGTCTTTTAACAAACAATCTTTCTGTCATTATCTTAATATAAGTCAAAAAATGAAATTGGTATCCATTATTACCTAAATTACTAGACTGGATTTGGAAAACGCTGAATTGATCTCAGCCCACTGGTATATTTTAAATAGTTATGATTTTAGAGTTGAAAAATAGTTAGGTATCCAAATTAATTCATTATAGTAAACAATATGTTGTTAAATGGTCCCACCAAATCAAATCACAGCGAGTCTTGTTTGTGTGACGCTGGATGAATTGTGGTGCAGGTGCTGGACCCGGGCTCCCAGGCAGCGTCAGGGCTGATCGAGGGAGACCTGATCCTGGAGGTGAACCAACAGCCGGTGGCGGCAGCGGGACACGGGCGGGTGGTGGAGATGCTCAAAGAGTGTCCCGTGGGAGCGGAGGCCACGCTGCTCATACAGAGAGGAGCAACAGGTGAGACTGAAGGGCTTATTTACTGTTTTACTGCTTGTCTGATCGGTAATTAGTTTATTTGCTTCAAATTCAGTTTCCTTTATTCTGTTGTTTACTCATAAGGACTACAAAGACAATTGTACATAAAGTGTCTAATTAACCAGATCAAGAACAAATCGAAAGTGTATAAAGATATTTAACAATAATGATTTATATACCACCATTGAAAAGCTAAGGTGCTTTACAATAAAAACATGATAAAAGTCATTCAGATCCGGAATATAAACAATCTGAATAGTTCCAACAAATGCCATCTATTAATTAAAAAACGTACTATAAAAGTGAGTCTTAAGAAGAGATTTAATGGAAACCACAAAGATTGCCTGCCTTGATGAATGAAATGTAATAGATATATTGTAGTTTTTGGTTAATAAGCATGTTATTTCTAACGACGACATCAAATCATTTCCAACCTTTTTAATACCTGGTGATTTTCCGTGATCTATTTATGATAGCAGTAGTGGCAGAAATGCACACATGTACGATTAGTATATAACCCTAAGCCTTAAAGAACCAGAACTTTTGCAAAAATGAAAAATGGGCCTGTGCATGAGCCCAGCTCAAGTTGTTTCTTATTGAGATGCACAAATCTCATGTTGCTGTGCATCTTCAACCTCACCTGCAGCTCCTGCAAGAGAGGAGAGGAGTCGAGTAGAGTTGACAGTGAGAGCTGAGAGTGCAAACCAGATTTTGATTATGACACTTTAGAACCGTTCTATTTTTGAACACTTTCAAATGACTTGGATTTTATTTTTGGAATACTACAAAGTTTAGAAGTTAGAAGAAAAACTGGACAACTTTTATTATTTTTTGTTTTTTTAAATAACAAGACTGTTTTTCTTAAAGTGTAATAGTTCAGGATTACTTCTCAGACATAATATCTGCATGATGGTTAAAAAAAAACACAAAAGAACTTCTGTGTTCCCCTTGGGGAATTAGATGAGACTTTTTATGAGACACTTGAAGAAAAATACAATTTAAAAGAAGAGTATTTGGTTATTTTTCATGTAATAGCTCATGCAGATAATGCAAAGAAATAAAAAAACTGCGGACAGTGTAAGCAGATGTCATGGAAAGTCTTGTGTGTCATCATGTTTTTTAAACGCGGCTTTATTGCCAAACAATTTTTTCCAATTTAAAATGCAGTGGAGAGTTTGGATAGATGCTCTGTGGGAGCAGACGACACCAACACTGCTGTGGAGAAGCGGTTTAATTCCCACTGGGGACCTTCAAAATAAATGCGGTTATTTTACTGTAATGTGCTTTGGACAGAAACGGCTCTGGAGAATGTTTTCTAACCGGCTGAACTGGTTGGCACGATGTTGTTTGGCCACTTGTTCTGACATAAACTCTGAAATGATGACGCTTTGATTATACAGACAGCATTTTCATATTGCTCTGGAGTCATGAACGATCAACTTTAAAGTTATGCTTGGTTAGGACAATGGTAACAAAGGGAAACGAGAAGCCAAAAAGCTCTAACCAAAACCCCTTCAGTCCTATTTAGGATCTTTAATCTTAACTATACCTTGATTCACTGATCCTATGTGTTTTTCTTTGCGTCAGATTACCTACCATCCTGTCTGAAAGCCTGTATTGGAAAATGTTCTTCCAAACCATTTTTCCTCCTCCTCCTCGCTAACTTTTCAAGCAAACGTTACATTTAGACTGACTGTATAGTTTGGCCGTCTGTGCACTAAGAAGGGGTTACTGTTGTTTACCAATACCTGTCACATGTTAGATCCACCTAACAAGCTCTGCATTGCAATGAGCCGCTCCACACCACCTTTGTTAATGTTCCGCACTCGTTCAGTATCGTACCGTTCTTTTTCTTTTGAAGGGAAAGAAGGAGATGACCACACGCACTCAGTCTGAGAACCTAAATGAAAGGGGAGTTATAACGTAGCAGAGAGAGCATTTCATAGTGGTGCATTTGTGAGTGCAGAGAGATTTTCCCTGAACCAAAGAATGGAGTGTGACCATTTTCTCTTTGTTGCCACCTGCGAGGAAATTAAATTGCACAGTGAACGCTTTATTTGTTTTAAAGGTGCTCTTGCTCTGATTTTCTAAAAGGTGTTCTGGTCACAGGGTTACATTTTAATTAGATGATTTCCCAAGGCTGCATACCACTGAGCCCGTGGCTAACTGACGAACACACACACAACCGCTCAGGGATTAACCATAGAGCCTGTCCTCTGTCCATAATAAAGACACAGTTTTTTAAGCTCATTGTTTGTTTTTGATGTGCCAACCTGCAGCTTTGCATCTTACTTTGTCATGCTCATTTAGTCGTTAAGTCTGCAGTTTGTCTCAAGATAAATTGCCTTTAGTGAAGGGTTAATTTGCGTTGTTTCAGAGACGATAACAGAACATTAAAGACAAATTATAAATCCACTCTCTTTTAAATCGCTCCCTTTTTCATGGATGTTACCCAATTAGGGATGAAAACAATCAGTCTCATATGCATCTCAAGTTTAATTAATTGGAGTGTGGCAGGAATTATTATTGTAGACCTGAAAGACAATCAAAGACATTAGCACCTAATGACCCTGATTTATCAGACTATCTCATGTGAGTACTGCTGGGTGCTTATTTACATCCGCCCTGTTGTCTTCAGTCGTACAGTTCATTATTGGACATTATTGGAGATGTATCGATGAAATGTTGCCCAATCCAAGTGAATTAACTGTGTACTGTATGTTGTTCATTGAATTATACTGTTGATTATATGAAAGATAATAAATCCTACTAAGTCTAATTTGCACAGATGACATGTGTTTTGCGCAGGAATAAGAAAACACAGTGTTTTATGTGAATGCATGTCATCATGCATGGATGTGTGTGCAGCTGAGATCAGATGTTGTGAGCATCCTATGACCATGCAGAGCCAACATCTGCCTCCTGGTGGTTAACCTTTGCAAAGACATACCCTCAGGCTTCACTGTCGGATACGCCATTTAAAAAGGGTGCTGTAATTCAATATACAAATGAGATTTCCTCACACAGATTAATGCAACATCACATGTACATACACAGATCTGTACTCAAATGTACACACAGCTTGCAATAGATATCCTCCAAAGTGCTGAGCTTAATTTGCCAAATTACGTCCTTCCCCCAAAGCTGCCATACCCTCCAACCTCACCAGTTTCTATCAAACAACTCAAGGGAAACAGCCCCACAGGGACTATCAGGCTGACACACCAGGAGCCTCTCTGGCTCTGTGTGTGTTGCTCTCCTCACTGCAGGGTGAAAAAGAGGACAAGGTCCTTTACAGTGACTCAGATGTGCAAAATGTCAGGAACGTTTAAGCATGTTTGTGTTCACAGATGTATGATTTCTGTGCAGAACATCAGTGAAATTAAGCTTGCTCGCATGTTTTCATGGGAGAGCAACAACAGACAGGGTGTTAGACGTGTGTGTGTGTGTGTGTGTGTGTGTGTGTGTGTGTGTGTGTGTGTGTGTGTGTGTGTGTGTGTGTGTGTGTGTGTGTGTGTGTGTGTGTCTGTCTGCTGTAGTGTGGGCTTTCTGCCAGACTTCCACTGAGCTGTGGTCGTGTTCACAGCTCTGTCCCCTGACATCCTAGTTTGAAGCGTAGCCAACCACAGACTACAGATATTGTGCTGCACCAATGAGGATGCAGATCATGGCTGTGAAAAAAATGTGTCACGCTGCACAAGCCAATCAGGCCGATCTGAAAGCCATCCAGGACTCAGCAGGCTAGTCTGTGAGGCCGGCCTGCCAGACTGTCTGACCACTGACTCCAGAGAGAGTCAACGTGCTGCCTCTCCACCAATCAGGCCTTTGTAATTCATCAGCATTCATAGGAGTACACCACACATCCAGCACATATGCCATTGAGTTGTATTAGCATTTAAATTAAGCTTAAAGGCCAATGTGCCTATGACTCTTATTTTTAATATGAGTGAACAATTGCCTTGTAGCTCATACCTATTTCCCTCAGTGGGTCATAAAGGAAAGTTTCCTGAGATTGAGCTATTAGAATTCCTTAAAGGCTTCCCTGAAGGCCGGTATTCCCTACAGGACACGGTTATTAGTCCTAGACCCCCGCAGAGCTTTCCCTCTGCGGCTGCCGCCATACTGAAGCTCTTCAGCACCACGGACAGTTATCCTCAAACCTCCATTCATGTTTACCTTATGCAATCATGAACAGGGAGGGTTTCTATTTCCCTTTTCCTCATGTTCTTTCATCCGTTGGCCTTCTCTAAGACACAGCAGGGAAGTTAGTTCTTTTAAAAGGAAAAAATGTCCAAGCGGAAATTATGCTTGTGCGAATAGATAAGGGTTTGGGTAGGGAAATATATCTGATAAAAGTGTAAGGAAAGTTACAAATAAATGTAAATGTTCATTTAGTCTTCATACGGACTGGCAGGAATCCAATGCATACCATTTTCCTCAAATCTCTCCTCGCTCGCTGATTTTGAAGTTCTGCCATTCTGCAGCAAAGTGCGCTGGCCTTCATCTCACACATCTGAAAGTAGTTGATGTGGTTGGAGAGTCATTCCATAAATACATTTCGTCCAGTGCTCTCTGACATTTCTCCGGAAATCTCATAAACTGAATAAATATTTAATATATGAGGCTTCTCTAAAGAATATTTTACAAGCGCCCACGTCTGTTAAAACATTCATCAGGGAAGCTGAAGGAATCTAGTGTGCTTCATGAGTGTGTTAATGAATCCTCTCTACATGTATGAAGATTCCAACTGCATGTTTATACAAAGCAGCACTTGTATGTGATCAGCCCCATGTGTAAATGTATGTATTTGGGTCTGAGCAGCATAACTGCTGTATGTCTTTGATTTAACGGAGTCACAGGGGAGCTGTGTAGATGAGATTGTTGTGATGTTAAGTGCTCCCTGCTTCCTATATACAGATAAAATATGACTTTCTGAGTAAGTGTATGTGTATATATATATATATATATATATGTGTTTGTGTGTGTGTGTGTGTGTGTGTGTGTGTGTGTGTGTGTGTGTGTGTGTGTGTGTGTGTTGGGGGGAGGGGGGCCATGCTTATGCCTGCAGCCAATGANTTATTGCATGGCACCGTGCCAAGCAAATTTAGCCTTGGCATTTGCCTATGTCAATAAATGTATACTGTACTGAAGGATCAGACACTTGTGGGTTTCCTGCTCTGTACCGACCTCTTATCCTTGTGTGTTTGGTCAAAACGCTAACTTTTTTACAAACCGGCTCATATGATGGAAATATAGAAGTTTTATGGCAATGTTTTTTAGGCTCTACCTCCCCACACGGGTTGCCCCCTCAGAGTCTGACTGAGATTTTGCCCCGGCCTTTTTTGATTTCTGTATGATCTACGTACCACAAAATTTGTTTGTGTGGGGGTAGAAGTATCTCTGATTCTCTGCCCAGATTTCTGTTTTTGTGTGTTCTGTCCAAGTTCTCTTTTTTAATTTGGTGCCAGTGGAAATCTCCAGCTTTATGTTCTCCATAGTCTCGGTAAGTGTGAAATAATACCCTAATAACCAAAAATTATAAAAATTGTCTCACCAGGCATTGCACTTCCTTCTTACTGTCGCTGTTACTTGCTGCTGGTTTGTTTTGTGTCTGTATGTTTGTGGTGGTTCCATCAACCCATTTTTATCACAGAAATGAGCGTCATCCCAGGGCGGCAGTGTCCATCGGCTGTCAGCGGGTGTGTTTCGTCGCTAGTGATAGCGCCTTTATACTATTTCTCTTGTAAAATGACTCATATTGAGGCGATAGATGGATGAAAATGGACACAGTGGATCGCTCAGTAATTGCTTTACCCAGTCTTGATCTGAGTTTTATTTTATCATTGGTAACATCTTCCACCTTGCTTTTGAGTTCTCCTGCTAGCATTTACAGGATCATGTTATAGTTCTCACAGGCTCGCTCCTACTGGACTCTATGGGTACTTATCTTACGATGCGGCAGCCTTTGAGAAGTTTATAGCGTATGCCGGCCCGGCAGCGACTGAAGGTGCACAAGCGCGTATTAACGCGGCCACGGCCCTCCTTCCGTCATCCCTTTCTCTTCAGCGAGCACAACGGAGCTAGAGAAGTTCGTTTGAAGAAGAAAGTGTTTTATACCTCTCTTGGTGTTGCATTCTATTGTGACCGGGCTGGTCCTTCGTGCCCTGTGCTCTGAAAGGCGGGCGCCGTATCCCCCACCACCTCCTGCTTCGGTGTTGGGACCAGCATGTGAGCGGAGGCGTGCATCACGTTCGCCATTCCAACGGGGCGGATGGGCTTCTGTTTGCCGTGTCGGCCACTTCCGGGGTCCGGCGTCCATGGAGTCCACGGCCCAGGGGCTGTCTTCCCCCTAGGTGATCATCATGGCGGCGAGAGCGGGTGTGTTGGCATCTCGCTCATTGCTAGATATGCCCCACCTCACCAGATCAGAGCGTTATTTGGCAAGGCCGAATTAGTAGCTTGGTCGCGGAATGTGCGCCGCCGTTGCCTGCCGTGTGAGTCCCGGGGGGGGGGGGGATCAGCGCGTAACGCGCTGGCACTTTCCAAAAGGACGTGTCGATCTTCTGGAGCCCCGTGTTTACGGAAGGCTTTGAGACGATCTCTTGGTCACGGGATGAGGAAGTAGTCCGCAGCGTGGACTGCTTCCTTGCTTATCCCAGAGGTAGGAACACTATCCCACACTCCCCGCCCCGCCTGTGAAACTCCAGTATAGGAGCCAGCAGGTGGCGCGCGCACGTGAGTGAATAAACCGAAGTGCTGTCAAAGCACTGTGCGGGTTCAAGAGATGCTATTGCGCGGGCTGTTGTCAGAAAACACACCTTGCCTGGCAGTGGCGGACTGGCCATTGGGACGTTCGGGACGAATCCCGATGGGCCGGTACTGAAGAGGGCCGGTCGGACGACGTGGGCCGGTCGGATAAGTCACTAGCAACCGTCTAGTTTTATGGGGAATGGAAGCCCAACTGTGTACTGGCAGAGTGGGTGGACGGGGCACTGACACTGGGTTACTCACTCCAGTTTTGCAGCGTCCCTCCTCCATTCAGGGGCATAAGGTGGTGTGTGTGGGAAAAATGCATTCAGTAAAAACGATTGCATTTATCCCAGAGTAAGAGTCATCTCTCTCCAGAATGCCACATTTCCCCATAATGTCTCGTTGAGATCGGCAAGATCTGTTTCATATGATGTTAATTGGGCACCCATTATGAGACACAATTCCCCACTCGCCGCCCCAGTTGTAACTCCAGTATAGGAGGCAGCCAGTGGGCACGCGCATGTAAGTGTGATTAACCGCAGGAAGTGCTGTCAAAGCGCTGTGTGGGTGCGCGGCCCCTGTGAGAGTGGCCGCGGTGCATTCAGGGACCTCCGGGCTATTCAGCTGGGGGGCATTAATCTTCCACCCCATAGTGGGGCGAGGGAGGCTAAATTGCACCTCCTCTGCCCGGTGCGTGCGCTAGCGTGTTATGTGCACGGCTGCCCTTAGACGCACTGAACAGCTGTTTGTGTGCTTCGGGGGCGGGGTGATCGGGAAAGCCCTGTCCAAGAAACGCCTGGCAGGCTGGCTCTGCGAGTGCATTGCACATGCCTACGGACAGGCGGGGAGAGCCTTCCCCACGGGGGTCCGTGCACACTCTACACGAGCTATGGCTGTGACAACAGCCTTATTTAACGGCGTGAGTGTGGAGGACATATGCACGGCGGCCCCTTGGTCCACGCCAGGCCCCCTTCATAAAGTTGTATCTCTTGGACATGTCTGGCTCCTTTTCATTGTCTGTGCTTGCTGGGGCAACGCAGGACTGGTGAGGAGGGAAGGGGGCTGTGGGTCAGTGGGCATCTCACACCCTCCCCGGGCGTAATGCGCTTATGTTTTTGACGTGACGCGCAATTTTTTTCTCCACGGTTACGAGCAGCGGCTGCTAACCAGAAAGCCGGTCAGAGACAGTGAGATGGAACAGTGTTGTTGTGGGATGACAGCGCGTGTATACATCGGGGCTCCGCCCACTGTACCCATAGAGTCCAGCAGAGGGCGGAGCCTGTGAGAAATATAACAAGGGTTTACGTATGGTAACCCTTGTTATATAAACCCAGGCGGAGCCCTCTACTCAGGGACCCTGTCTGTCCTATGCTGCTTGCTGAAGAGAAGTGTAGGATGACGGGTGGCGTGGCCACCTTATATGCGGTGGGCTTGTGCACGCATTCAGGTAGGACCGCCCCGGGGCCGGCTACGTCTTTAGAATTTTCAGTAGGTTAATGCTCGCATGATAAGGTAGTACCCAAAGATTCCAGTAGAGGACTCCGCCTGTGTTTATATAATAAGGGTTACCATACGTAACCCCTCGTTTTCATGCTGTTTCACACTTGGACATTAAATGTGGTTTTTCAGTATGGGAGGCAATGAGCAGTTAGGACAATGTGAGTGCTTGTGTGTAAATGTGTGTGCAGCGTATGTTAGTTAAATGTGTGTAGCTGGATGAAGAGTGAGATGAGGTTAGGTGCAGGTAAGGTGTTGGTGTGTATGAGGTTAAATATGTGTGTGGTCCAGCCCGTCCCATACGAGCCTTGTCACGGGCGTCCGGACTCACAGCCTGCACGGCCTCGTCTCCCCCCAGGATGCGGAAGCCAAACCCGGTCTTCTCCCTCAGCAGGTGCACCTCCACCTCCTCATACTCTGGACCTGAGACACAAGTGAAGACATTAAAGGTGGACTCTGTCATTGAATTAAAATCACCATATTATCCGCAATTCGCAGCAACAAAATGCTCCATCGTTCATGAGGTTACCGCACTCACGTCGGCTCTCGTAGATGGCCCTTGACTTCTCGTAGAGGTCGTAGGGATCCGGTTTGTTAAGATCGAAGCCCTCGGTGGAGTCCGGCACAGACGTGCGGTGCTGGGGCTGGTTTGGGAACGACATGCTGGGCTGCAGACCCGGGCCGGACAGGTTGGCTTGGGGGCTGCCATGTGGGTCCCACTGGTCAGGCAACTAGAAGACAGCAACATCAGAAGCATCAACAACTGATGTTTCATTCTTATTATAGGAACCCTTTGCAGGCAGCAAATGCTCTGTTTGCCATTCCTTGGTCTTGAAACGATTTGCCTGACTGTTTTGTAATTTGGTGTGAAGTGCATTCTGCACAGGTGTAAGGAAAATAGCAAACAGGTTCATTACAATCAAGCAGCACAAAGCAATTTGATGATATTTTGGTGAAAAAAGATTAAGAACCACATCTATTACTTGCACAATGTCAATCTGCTGCTGATCTGATTTTGTCAACAAGAGCAAACAAAGCATTTAATAAAATTTGCAGCAATAACAGAATAACATTCAAAATGTAAATAAGGTGAACACTTATTATCTTGAATACAAATATGCATTTGGTTTGTTACGAAACATTTGACTGTGGGATAAAAAGTTACATGTCTTTCTATTGGCCTCTTATTGATTGATTCATTTCATTTTCTAAAGGTGTATGTGGGCAACTAGTCCACTCATGACAGCCACCCAATGCTGGAACAGCCGACGTGTTACTGCACCAGGCAGGAAGAGAAAACAACATACAGCTGAAAACGATATGCGTACAACACTGACCTGCACAGTTCTTATATAAATACAAGATATAAGATGACATATTAGCATATGTGTAGAAAAACAACAACACAGCAATTATATACAGCAGCAGCTGTTGTGCAAATAAGACAAATAGGAATTAAAAGTGCAACTAAAGTCTGGTAACTGCGGTAAACCAATTATATCAGCTTTCAAGAAAACTGCAGTCTGGTAATATTAAGTACTGAAACACAAATTTGACAAATAAGGGCTTCATGTTCACAGTGATTAATTAGCTCTATGAAGGTTTTCAAATGATAAGAAAAGGCATATCAGTGAAGACTAAATCCAAGGCTAACTATGTGCAGGGAACAATGTCTGGTAACCTTGATGAAGGAAGATGATCATCAAACTTAATAAAATAATAAACGAAATATACATGTAATACTTAAAATAAGAAATGTATTATTATGTAAGTGTACCTTTTATGATTTATATTTAGTTAAGAGTTATGGCTACTGATTAACTTGTTTGGCCGGGGGCCAGATATAACAAAAATTAAAATCAATATTCACAATTTGAACTTTAATGAGACCAGATTCCTCATGTCTTAATATTCTGTGTATCACCAACAATGAGAGTTGATTATGTAAGCAGCAGCAGCAGCAGCAGCAGCAGCAGCAGCAGCAGCTGCAGTTTAAGTTTACGTCTAAAAGAGCTTTTCCCCAGCTGGTGAGGTGTGAGATCTGATGTGATCAAACCAATAAGCAGGTCACGACAGGCTGGCTCATTTCACAATGAGGCAAAAGCCAAACACCTCTGAGGCAACACACCGCAATGACAAAAGCTGATCCCACACACTTCAATCTCCCCTCCCTGCTTCAACAAACAAATCTGGTTCAGACGAACATTTCCCCCCCCGCCTCTCCTTTTTCTCTCAGTTGAAAACACACACAGAAACAAGCAGACACATTTGGTTCAAATATAATACCTGTTTGGAGGCCTTCCACGGAGAGATGTGGCCTGAGGAAGAAAGAGAAAACACAGTTTACAGAGAGCAGACTCAGATAATCTGTCTCATATGAAACAACAAAACTACAGACAATTACAACTATACTATACAGACAGAAAACAACTATAATGCAACCTGTGTGCAAATGTTTTACTCATGAGATATTGGAAACAAGTTGTAAATCCTCTCCTCTTAACAGTTTACTTATTTCAAATTCCTCTGTTTTGACTTTAACTCTTGTTAAATGAGTTTGGCTGTTGCGTTTGCTTTCAACATAATTACGTCATTGGCTGCAGGCATAAGCATGGCCCCCCAAGGCACACNCTATTCAGTTGGGGGGCTTTAATCTTTCACCCCATAGTGGGGCGAGGGAGGCTAAATTGCACCTCCTCTGCCCGGTGCGTGCGCTAGCATGTTATGTGGAGTACTCCACATAACATGCTAGCGCACGCACCGGGCAGAGGAGGTGCAATTTAGCCTCCCTCGCCCCACTATGGGGTGAAAGATTAAAGCCCCCCAACTGAATAGCCCTCGACCTGAACGCATTCCTTAGGCTCTTGGGCACAAAGGAGGGTCTGAGTGGTCTACCCATAGAGTCCAGTAGAGAGCGGAGCCTGTGAGAGATATAACTAAATGTTTTCATTAATGTCCTCTGAGGAGGACATGGGGATTTGCTAACCTTTTATTTCCCCCATTTTACACAACACAAATGGAGGCAGCTCACTAACCAAGGCAGAGAGAAATCTGAACAGAATCATTGAGGGAGACTCAGACATAGACCTGTCAGATGATGAGGATCCACAGGCAGTGANGGGCTTTTCAGATATGTGACATACAGTATGTGGGGGCGTGGCTTTGAAAAAGATGATTTCATTGTATTTCAAAATGGCGTCCATCAACACAGGCACTATTTATAGAAAGAGAAATGGTAAATTTGTAATGTTGTAATTACCAGTGTTGTGAGTTCAATATTTGAATTAATTATAGTAAGGGAACATCTTAGGAGTTAGTGTAGTGAGTTTCAGAGCAGTGTAATAATTATTTGACTNGCTCACTGACCGAGGCAGAGAGAAATCTGAACAGAATCATTGAGGGAGACTCAGACATAGACCTGTCAGATGATGAGGATCCACAGGCAGTGATTGAGGAAGAGGAAGACAACTCAGAGAAGGAGGCATTGACTTAGGATGAGCAGGGGACAGTTACAGAAAAAAGGCCCGTCGTCCACTATGGGCCAAAACTAACATGTAGGGTTCATGGCAGACGGATGCAGTGGGAAAACATACATCAAGTGCCTCAAGTGTCAGATGTATCTCTGCATTTAAAAAAAGGATGGAGTACTACAAATGAAGGCTCAGTATTTGTTGCATTGAGTTGTTGTGCTCTAATGTTGTCTAAATGTAATTGTATGTTAATGTTGTTTGTATACTATGCTTCGCATAACTAACACCTGATGTCCTCTACAAAGGACACAATAAAACAAAAAAAAAAATATATATTTTTAGTTTTTGTTAGTCATTATGTTTATACCACCCTAAAGACTTGTGTGATAAAAAAAAAGGACATTTGAAACCTTTTTCTTTCTGGGTCTCAGGACATATATGAAGATTAAATATATTGTTATTGTGATAAATAGAGAAACTACTGAAACTGCAGCGCATACCCTCTTGAGCCAGTGTGGCAGCATATTCTTTATGTATTTTCAGTTTGACATCTTCATAAGTATCAGCTGGTGCAGGGCTGGGTTCAGGGGGGGGGGATGGTGGACCTGGAGGAACAAAACTTGGATAAAATAAGGATGAAAAATACCTACTTTTTCATAAACAACATGTTAGAGGGCACTTCTCCACGGCTTCCTTAATACTCTACAAATGTAATACCTTTCTTATCTGTGGATGGCTTCATCCCTTTTGTGTTTTTGTTTGCATCTGCAGAGGCCTGCTGGGCCTTCTCCTTCTCTTGTGGTTTCCCCTTCTTCCCTTTCATCTCCCCCTGGTGGGCTTCTGCTGATACCTACACACATGTATAACCCATACACGTCAGGAATTAAAATAAATATGACTGTATATATATATACCCCTTTATTTACTTATGCAAACTGTCACAAACAAGAATTACCAATTTGCTGATGCCTCTGAGTGCCTCCGTGTAGTCAGAGGTCAGTTTATCTTGGGGAAGCTAGAGGTAACAATGAAAACCGTTAGTTTCTCTTATCATTAATTAATCATCATTAATTAATCATCACTGAGTGTTTTTAATTATTTTGAACAACATTTTCTTTCAAATGTATTTAAGAATGACAAAACTAAAATGTCAACCTTAAACTGTCTTAAAATATGGTACGGCTTGAAACATTACAAAGATAACTGGAATAATATATATTGTAGTTTTTGTGATTTTGAGGAAGACTAAAATGATGAAGTTATATTCAGGATGACTGAGGGATGCCCTGACCTTGACAGGTTCTGTCTGGTCCTGGATTTTCTCCTTGGAGTCGGGACTGCAGAGTAGGAAAAACGGGAGAAGAAGAGGACATTTCTTATGTGTGCATGTGTTTGCGCGGAGAAGAATTTGGACTGTGAGAAAATGATAACATCCATAATGTCTTCTAAACCAGTTTGCAGTAAAAGTAAAGTTAATGCTGTGTGCGATTGTGCATCATCCATACATTTGAATTGTACTCTTATCCTATCTGACTGCACAGTTGCTCAGTACTGAGCAAATAGATCGTTCACTGACTGCAGTTATTTCTAATCATTTACTATTTACAGTTTTGTAGGTTTTTGACATATTTAGGTTGTTATGAATAGTGTATTTCTTGCCTCTCGTCCTGATCCTTCACTTCTGGGAAGTCAAGAAGGGGGATACAAGCCAACCTGGAGGGTAGCTCAGGCAGCACCTCTCTGCACATGCTCAAATAGTAGACTCTTAGAATACAGAGTGTATCCTGGAGACGGTCTGACTCTACCTACACAGCACAGTGTATCCAAGGTTACGGTCACACAAAAGATTCATTGAATATTCCTACTGCACACATCATTAGAAAAGGACTGAAAACAAGCAGTGCAACAACAGGTATACAACAAAAAACATAATCCATTATATGAGTTTATAAACAGCAACATTTATAGTTAGAAGATGAAAATGAGGAAGCACCTGCATGAGTTTAGAGTGATAGTTGATGAGGATGACCGTGTGTTCCTCCAACCAGCCGTCCCCCATGAGAGCGGCCTTCTCTTGCTCGTCCTCCTCCTTACACTTGTCACTAATGTCCCAAAGACGTTCACGCAGTTCCTGAACACAAGTTTTATATTTTCAGTTTTAAGCAGGTTTTATACCATTTTCATGATCAAATCAAGAATAACTGTATTGTGTTAGAAATTGTTCTCACATCCAGTCTCAGATGCAGCTCTGCTTTGGTATCCTCGTCTTTCCTCATATCGTCAGGTATGCTGTTGAAGTCCTTTTGCCAATGAGACACCAACTCCTGCCTTAAGTCAGGACGTCCCAGGTAATGCTTGTAGTCCTCTCTACAGGGAACCATGGAATTACATATTGATACATGTAAACATATATCAGAGACAATTCTTTTAGGTCTTATATTTGAACATAATTTTCCACTTTTATTTGTAAAATATTTCTGATAAAGGACCATACGGTTAGAACATTTGGGTCACATCAAAAATTAACCTAAAAATAAGTGTTTTCAAAATACTGAACTTACATACTGCATTTTTGTAATGGATTATAACCATTGTAGCAAAGATGTATAACAACCCACACTGTTTTTTATTTACAAGGCATCAATGTGTTGCTTTTCATGTTATCAGATACACAGTTGTAAGAATGTACTGACATTTAAAAGCCAATAATGTAACTTCAGCGATGGATATCAAATATAGAAAGGGAGAAAAGACATGCATTGTGAAAATGCTTTGTTATGAGTTTGTTTGAACTGATTGTTCTAAAAGAAACCTTGTCCACACTACTACAAAGGCCCGGCAGTATACCTGATGTTGAATAGCTGATGGTTAATAACACTGCTTTGCGAGCGGATCTGCTGCATTACTGTCTTTACGTTTTTCACATAGGAATCACACACTGTGTCCCAATGGGGGCAAATGAACCCTGGGACTTCCTAAAAATAGAGAGGGGGAGGGAAAAGATGAACATAGCAGGGGGCATGGGAGGATAGAGGGCAATCAAACAAAACAGTATAGTGTTATGCAACAGATTTGACGGAAGAAGAGGACACTTTACATGTACTGTATCTTCAAATAATTAAAACAAATTATGCAAGGCAACACAGGTAGGGTACCACAACTGATTCTTACCCCTAGATTCCACCGGGTCCGTCTGCGGCGCGTTACGGGCGCGTACGGCTGCGCCGCGGTGCTCACGGTGCCCACTCTAGTCAAAGGGTGCTTTTCCACCACACGCGGCGCGTTACGGCTCAGAAGCGTCGCAGAAGCGTCCCAGAAGCGCCTCGGCGCAGGGCTCCTCTAAAATTAGGATGAATCCTATTTTTGACGCGGCGCAGCCGTAACGTAAGGTCGGGCAGGCAGGAAGTGGAATGGTCAGAGCATATATAGCCTAGCATATATATATATATATATACATATATATATATATATATA